GGGAACAGGGTTGGAGGTGGCACCTCTGCTGTTCCCCCAGTTCCTACTCCTTTATTTGTTTCAGTCCACATTTTCAGCTGTACAGATGCGTGGATCTTTCCAATGCCCTGGTGTGTTGGGTGAGGAGACTTTGTTGAGTCATGGATGCTTTACTTGTTACTTATAGAAGGGGAGAGATAAGGGAGCATCTCATGCCACCATGATGCTAATGTCACTACCATGCATAATTCTTTTTTAAAAATAATATTGATGGACACTTAGGTTGCTTCCATAGCTTGGCCATTGTAAATGATGCAGGGAACATATGGATATATATGCCTTTTTGAATTAATGTTTTGGGTTTCTTCAGATAAATATCCAGAAGTAGAATTGCTGGGTCCTTCGTTGTCTCTTGGTATAGCCTTTGTTTGTTTTGTCTGGTATAAGTATTGCTACCCCCGTTTTTTTGTCTGTTTGTTTCTATTTTCATGAAATATCTTTTGCATACCTTTACTTTTAGCCTGTGTCTTTCGATCTGAAACAAGTCTCTTGTAGATAGCATATGTTAAGGGTCTTATGTTGTTATTCATTCAGCTGCCATATGTCTTTTGATTGGAGACTTTAATCCATTTGCATTTAAAATAATTGTTGATAGATATGTATTTATTGGCATTTTATTCATATTTTCTATCTTTTAAAAAATTTTATTTTCTTAAAGAAGACTTTTAACATTTTTTGTAATGCTGATTAAGTGGTGATGAATTCTTTAGCTTTTTTTTTTCTGGGAAGCTCTTTATCTACCCTTTAATTCTAAATGGAGCTTTGCTGGGTAGAGTAATTTTGTTTGTGGGTCCTTGCTTTTTCATCACTTTGAATATTTTGTGCCAAGTCTTTCTGGCCTGCAAAGTTTCTATTGAGAAATCAGCTGACAGTCTTATAGAAGCTCCCTTGTAGATAACTAACTGCTTTTCTCTTGCAACTTTTAATATTCTCTCTTTGTCTTTAAACTTTGGCATTTTAATTATGATGTGTCTTGGTGTTTGCCTCTTTGGGTTCATCTTGTTTGGTACTCTGTGCTTCCTGGACTTTTGTGTCTATTTCCTTTACCAGGTTAGAGAAGTTTTGTGTCATTATTTTTTGTTTGTTTGTTTTTTTGTTAATCCTCACCCAAGGATATTTTTCCCCATTTGTTTTTAGAGAGAGTGGAAGGGAGGGGGAGAGGCAACAATCACCTGGTATTTGTCTTTCTCTGTCTGACTTATTTCACTCAGAGGGAAACATCACTGTAAGAGAGACACATTGATTGCTTGCTTCCCACACATGCCCCAACTGGGGCCAGGGATCGAGCCTGCAAACCAAGGTACGTGTCCTTGACCAGAATTGAACCTGGGACCCTTTAGTCCATGGGCTGATGCTCTAACCACTGAGCAACCAGTTAGGGCATGTCATTTTTTTTTCAATCAGGTTTTCAATTTCTTGCTCTCTTCTTCTTCTGGTGCCCTCATGATATGAATGTTGGTAAGCTTGAAATTGTTCCAGAAGCTCCTTACACTATCTTCATTTTTTTCATTTTGTTGCCCTGAGGGGTGTTTTCTTCTTTCTTACCTTTCAAGTCATTGATTTGATTCTCTACTGTGATTCCCTGTAATGTAGTCTTCATTTAAGTTAGTGTATTCTTCATTTCTAACTGGATCTTTTTTATGTTTTCTACCTCCATTTTTATGTTACCTATCTCTTTATTGAAGTTCTCAATAAAGAGTTTTTCTACATTTTCCTTATGTTCAGTGAGTATCCTTATAACCAGTGTTTTGAGCTTTGCTTTTGGTAGAAGGCTCGGTTTAATTTTGTTTAGCTCTTTTTCTGAAGTTTTGTTCTGTTCTTTCATTTGGGACATGTTTCATTTGTGTTGTTATTTTGTCTGCTTCCCTGTGTTTGTTTCTGTGTATTAGGTAGAGCCTGATTGTCAGTGGTTCTCAACTTTCTGACCCTTTAAATACAGTTCCTTATGTTGTGACCCAACCATAAAATTATTTTCGTTGCTACTTCATAACTGTAATGTTGCTACTGTTATGAATCATTATGTAAATATCTGATATGCAGGATGGTCTTAGGTGGCCCCTGTGAAAGGGTCGTTCAACTGCCAAAGGGGTCGTGACCCACAGGTTGAGAACCGCTGCTATATGTCTTCTAGTCTTGGTAGAGTGGTCTTATGTAGACAGTGTCTTTAGGGCCCAGTGGCTCAGTCTCCACAGTAATCCGAGCTGGGCACTCCAGACTGTGCTCCTTATGTGGGTTGTGTGCACCCTCTTGATCAGCTGTGAGGACTAGCTGGGACCACTAGAGGATCTGCTGTGCAAGGGCCGACCCCATGGAGCAGAACTCACTTCAGTGGGGCTTAGGTACCTTCTGAGTCCACCCCTTGAGTATGTCTCTCATGGAGGTGGTTTGGTGGTGCTTTGATGTGGTCTGAAGCTGTCCACCTGGTGTTTTGGCTCTTGGGCCTCCTAATAGTTGTAGTCCAAGGCCAACTGCTGCTTGTACTCTCCCCAGGGCCACCTGGCATGAGCTACAAAGCATTCTTTAAGTGGTTGCTATTTGTGCTGGCCTTGGAGGTGCCCAAGATAGGCCAAGCTGCAAACCAAGTTAGGCTGCTACTTGTGTCAGGTCTGGGGCCACTTAGAAGAGGTATGGGGTACACAGAGGCCAGATGGTGCTTGTTTGAGAGATTTTAGGAAAATCTGCTGCATGAGCTAAGACAGGCAGTTGTAAGGAAAAGTCACTGGGAAGGGTTTGGGTGGGCCAGCAAGTTGGATGGAGCAGGGTTGCAGGGAATCACCAGGTTGTTGGAGATTCAGATATCACGGCCTTCTGCGGGCTGTGTGGGAGGGCTCAGCAAAGAAACAATGGCTTCTGCCAGCACTCCCGTCTGTAGGTAAAGCTGCCCCTCCAACCCTTGCCTTAATGCCAGGCAATTGACTTCCTCCCCGTTTGTCCCTGGCACTTTTTGAGCTTCTGCTCCAGCGCTGGAGCTCATACTGCATGAGTTCAAGTAAGTCCCTGCACAGGCTCTTAAGAGGAGCATCTGGGACTTCAGGAGCCCTTTGTCTCACTCAGCTACAACCCTTGCAGGTTTTCACAGTCAAAAATTATGGGGACTTCTCCCACCACTAGGACTCCTTGCTCCACAGTTGAGATATTTTTCCTGATTTTTACTAGGTATACCTAGTAAATAGATGGAGTTACACATATGGTGATATATATGGGATTTGATATGTATGCTATTTTGTTGTATTGACAGCAAGCTTCAAAACTTCATGTCAAATTTGCTGAAGGTGTTAGCATCATAGATATTTTTATGCTTAAAAATGTCAAATTTCATGCCAAAAAAAAAGAACATTTGTGGGAAGTTTTAATTCTTTACTTTATTTTGAAGAAAAAGTTATTGTATACTTTGGGAAGCTTCTGGTGAATATGCTCCATCTCCAGATACTTG